AAAAATACATTTAATTTAAAACAACAACAACAAAAAAAACAGGCTAGGCTCCTTTCCTTGCTCTCTCAAGGCAATTTGCACCTGTTTGTGAGGCCTGCCCTGCTTTCCACAAGACTCCGCCTCAGTTATGTAATCATAAACCCCTTCATCCTGTTAGGCCTTTGTTAGTCTCCACAATCAACCAAACCTTGGATGGGGCCGGGGGTCTCATCTTTCTCTGCAGGTTATAAGAAATGTAACATGGCGTATATATTTCAATTATTTGTTCTATTGGCAAATCCTCCAGATATTTTCATTATCAATAACCTTGTTTTGAAATAGTATATATGATGATGAGTTTATGTAACCCATTCTTTTTAAAGACACTTGGCTTGTTACCAGTTTTTCTGTCCGAACCATGAATAAAACCTCAGATTGCCACATTACAGGACAAACATATAAATTATATTCTTTTCCAACCTTAGTTACTTCTTAATTTTTTTCATCAAATATATTCAGAAAAGATTGTACAGCCCTGGCCAAGTGGCTCAGTTGGTTGGCAGGGTCATCCTGTACACCAAAAGATTGCGGGTTTGGTTCTCGGTCAGGGCACATACCTAGGTTGTGGGTTTATTCACAACCTCTCTCTCTCAAATCAATAAACATATCCTATAAAAATAATAAAAGATTGTACAACCTGTATTGGAGTAAGACTTAGTAATAACAATATGAACACCTTTGGAATCGTCAAGATTTATAAACGGCCTGTGGGCAGTGGTGAGGGTTTCCTAGTGTTCCTGTCTTTGACTCATCTCTGTCCTGCCCCATAGATGACCACTGTCTCTATTCTTTATTCTTTTTTTTAGACATCTTTAATATCATGGGTCCCCCTTTTAAAAAATATGTTTTTTTATTTGTTTGAGGGTAAAGGGAGAGAGAAATAGAAACATTGATTGGCTGCTTTCTGCACTCCCCCTACTGGGGATCAAGCACACAATGTGCCCTGACCAGGAATCAAACCAGCGGCTTGGTGTACAGGTTGATGCTCAACCACTGAGCAACACTGGCTGAGCTCCATTCTTTATTCTTCATAAAACCTTGAAAATGACCTGCAGTTCTGGCTGCCTGCTGCCATGAAAGCCAAACTTGTGAGACAGGTTCTGGTTGAGAAGTAATGAGGTTTATTCAGGTGTTGACAACCTGAGAAAATGGCAGGCTCATGCCTTCAAAACCATCTTAGCATCTCAGTGCAGGCAGGGTTTTTATATATAGAGAGAGAAGTTATGTAAAAGATGCTGGTGGGCCACCATTTCCCACCATGGTAGGAGAGTTTAACCAAGGAAGTATTCATACCAAAAAAGAGATCAGGTGGAGGGGATGTGGATGTGCAGTGTCCTTGGTAGTTCCTATATGGAACTTTAATGTCAGCATACAGGAATTGGTTAGTGCTAGTCAAATCTGCATATGCCAGATTTGTTACTACTTTAAACCATATAATTTCTTCATTAGTTACTACTTTATCAGTCCATCCAGGAAATGAGACCAGCCACTAACTTGTTCAAGCTATTTATTCAAGTAGCTTGACATGTTCCAGGATACATTCTTGATGGGGATGAACATACTTCTTTGGTTATACCCTCCTGCCATGGTGGGTAATGGTGGCCCACCAGCATGTTTTACATAACTTATCTAAAACATTGATAATTATAGTCAACAAAACTGCTACTTTGCTTGCCAATCTGCAAAAACCTTTAGATTCTCTATCTAAAGTTGTCATAGAAAATAAAATTGCCATCCAGCCAGGGCTATTATTTCTTTATTTGACAAAGCTGCCCACATACTTTAAACATATCAAATAGGCCTAATTAGTTTAAACTTTCTTTTTTAGAAAGGAGAGAGAATAAATCCTTGAGATATTCCAGGAGCCAATTGTAATGATTCAAAGCCAATTCTAAGTCAAGAAAAAATCTCTTAAAATTTAAAACCCAGGCCCTTGCTGGCTTGGCTCAGTGGATAGAGCATAGGACTGAAGGGTTTCGGGTTCAATTCCAGTCAAGGGCACATGCCTGAGTTGTGGTCTCGATCCCCAGTAGGGGACGGGCGGGAGGCAGCCGATCAATGATTCTCTCTCATTATTGATGTTTCTATCTCTCTCTCCCCTCTCCCTACCTCTCAAATCAATAAAAAAATATTTTTAAAAAATTTAAGACCCGGGAAGGTTGTGAAATATACTTGGCCAAAAGATCATATGTCATTATGAAACAAATTATTTATCCAAGTAACAACAATAGGAATCACACACAAACACAGGCTAGCAAAACTTGACTTCTTAGGATTAAAGAGAGAGGTTTTTAAGAAATCAAGTACCTGATTAACACAATATGACATATGATTATTTAATGATATGTAGAATCTTTGCTCTCTAGGCAGATATAGGAAAAACTTTTTTCCCTTTTAACAGACTGAAAAAGAACAAAACAAATTCTATATTAGCTTACTTTTGATAGATTCATTTACCTAATTAAATTCATTACCTATATATTTCCCTCAAGATCTTTCTTTACAAACCTTCTTATCCATTCAGAAATAACCAGCTTTAGAGCAATAAGTATTTCATATTTTATATCTTCTACCAAACCATATAATTTCTTTCCAATTTAATTATAATTGTTAACTCAGAAAACTTGATCTTTCTTAATGACAACTAAAAGCAATCAATTAACGTTCTTTAGATGGATATTTTATGAATACGTTCCATAATTTCTAGAAAGAGGCAAAACACACTCAGATTTTCAAGAGACATATTTCAAATAAAATGTAAGATATATTAATTAACCGATCTAAATCTGCCCTCTAGCTTCTCTGCAATAAGAAGCTTCATCTACTCTACTGTTGATTCCTTATGTATTCTGCATTTCTGACTGCGGTCTATCTCCATTTTTGTTTTCTATCTCTTTGTTGAAATTCTCACTTAAGTATATCTACTCTTCCTCTATGTTCATTGAGCATTTTTATGACCAATGTTTTGAATACTGCATGTGGTAGATTGCTTGCCTCCATTTCATTGAGTTCTTTTTCTGGAATTTTGTCTATTCTTTCATTTGGGACATGTTTCTTTCTCTTCTCATTTTGGCTGCCTCCCTGTGTTTGTTTTTATGTCTCCCGATCTTGGTGGAGTGGGCTTATGTAGTGGGTATCCTGTAGATCCCAGTGAAACAGTCTCCCCAGTTACCTGAGCTGGGCACTCCAGATGTTCCCTTATTTGGGCTGTGTGCACCCTGGTGGTGTAGTCTAGCCTCAGTTGGGGTTGGCATGTCAATGGGAGGATTTACCCTCAGGCCAATTGGCTAAAATATCTGGCCTCAACCACAGACTGCCCCTTGAGTATGTCGCTCATGGAAGTGGTTGCATGGTGCTCTGGCATAGTCTAAAGCTGGCCACCAAAAAAATAAATTAAAAATAATAAAGCTGGCCACCAAGTGCGCTGTCTCTGTGGCCTCATTGGAAGTGCAGGCTAAGATCAGCTGCCATCTGTACCCTGCCCAAGGCCACTTGGTATGAACGACAAAGTGATCTGCAGATGTCTGCTATTGTGCTGGGCTTGGAGGTGCCTAGAAGAGGCCAAGATGCAATCTGTGGTGGTCTACCGCTAGTGTCAGGTCTGGGACCACTTAGCAAGAGGTATGGGGCACGTTGAGGCCAGATGCTTTGGTGGTAGTGGAAAAAAAGGTGTTGTGAATCTTTGAAGGATTTTAGGAAAGTCTGTAGCATGATCCAAGACAGGCTTTTGTGTGGAAAATTCACTGGAAACAGTTTGGCTGGACCTGCAAGATGAGTGGGGCAACGTTTCAGAGAGTCACCAGGGCAGTTTATCCAGGTTGATGGAGACTCAGGTATGGCCACCTACAGGCTCTATGGGGAAAGGCTCAGCAAAGGAACAATGGCTTCTTCCAGCATTTCTGTCTGGGAAAAAGCTGCCCCTCTAGCTCTTGCCTTAAATCCAGACAATTCAGTTCTTCCCTCCTGGTGTCTTTTTAAAATATATATATATTTTATTGAGTTTTTACAGAAAGGAAGGGAGAGAGAGTTAGAAACATCGATGAGAGAGAAACATCGATTAGCTGTCCCCTGCACACCTCCTATTGGGGATGTGCCCGCAACCAAGGTACATGCCCTTGACTGGAATTGAACCTGGGATCTTTCAGTCTGCAGGCTGATGCTCCATCGACTGAGCCAAACCTGTCAGGGCCCTTGTGTCTTTTGAGCTGCTGACTCGGCAGTGGAACTCAGATCAAGTGAGTTTGAGTAAGTGCATGCACAGGACCTTTAGGAGGAATACTTAGGACTCCAGCAGCCCTGTCTCACTCAGCCTCCATCCCCACTGGCTTTCACAGTCAGATGTTATGGGAACTTCTTTTCCCAGCGCTGGGAACTCTTGCTCCTCAGGGGGGAACTTCTGTAGCTGATATAGCCCTCCTAATTTTTAACCACCACACAAGGGTGAGAGAACAGCTCATTGCGTATTTCCACCCCTTATCAGTCTCAATGTGGCTTCTTTTTTATATTCTTAGTTATAGGATTTTTTTTCAGCCAAATTTTAGGTGGTTCTCAATGATGGTTGTTCTATAGTATAGTTGTAATTTTAATGTGCTTGTGGGAGGATGCAAGTACAGCATTTACCTACTTCACCATCTTGACTGAAGCCCTCAGGGTGGAAGTCTTAAAATTATAATATTTGTTTTATTTGAATAGCATTTGTCATTTCTCATCATGCTCTGACCCCTGCCATTAGAGAAAAATAAGATGTAATGTGATCACTATAAAGAAGTATTAATTTTCATGTGTTTATGATAAGGTTAAATTTATACGGAAGTAAATGTGAACACAGAATATTTTGATGATAAAAGTCATAGACTAAATATATGGAGAAAACAGAATTATATGTAACCTTCCTGTAAATAAAGTCTGGGTGTCCAGTGCTGTCAGTCTCATGTACTGTGCACATATTTGTACTATTTTAGGACTCAGTAACCTTTGAGGATGTGGCTGTGAACTTCACTCTGGAGGAGTGGGCTTTAATGGATACTCCACAGAAGAAACTCTACAGAGATGTGATGTGGGAAACCTTCAGGAACCTGGCCTCCTTAGGTATGGATGACAACTTTCTTCACCTTGTTAATTAGAGGACAAGTGTTTCTTGCCCATCAAAGTTGTTCTAATGTGTATAATGTGGGAAGGGAGGACACTGATAAATAAACTGGGCGTGATCACAGCTCATCATAGAAATAGAATCTAATGATGTTTCTGTAATTTCTACTACTTTTGGAATAAATTTTCTGGGTCTGTATTTTAGGAAAGAATTGGAAAAACCATGACATTGAATATCTGTACAGAAACCAGAGGAGAAAACGAACGTGAGTCACACTCAATAGAAAACACTGTTTTACATGAGAAACCTGTTATGCTATGAAATTTTAAAAAGAAACAAACAAAAAACCCTGCTTCAAATTTGACCTCTCAGAAAATTTCCACCAAATTACTTTCTTATGTATGACAAAGGCATTCAGTATTTGAAAACTAGTTCAAATGAAGAACAGCGTTAATAAACCCTGTGTATGAATGTCACTGTTTGATAATAGCAAGGCTGAAGTCCTCTTGCACGGCATCCCGTTTATTCAATTTAAGCCATTTAAACAAGGCAGAAAACCTACTTTTTTGCTATAAATCATAGAAATATAGTTCAAATATTCTAATAAATATAAAATCATAAGTAAATCCTGAAGAATATGCTTCTTCTTTTTTCCAGAAGTCCTGTGGTAGAGAGAATCTGTGATGGGAAAGTGGGTTGTCAGTGTGAAGACAACTTCATCCCTATTTCAGATCTCAATCTGAATGAGCAATCGCTTGGAGTAAAGCCATGTAAATACAGTGTGTGTGGGAAATCCTCCATACAGCATTCGTCTCATAATGGGAATGTCAGATGTCACACTGAACACAAGCCATGTAACTATCAGAAATATGGAGAGAAGCCATATAAACGTTATCTCCAGTGTATTACAAAACATGAAAGGAATCACAATGGAGAGAAACCTTTTGAACATAATATATGTGGTGAAGCCTTCAGTCCCAGCTATGTTGAAGTAGATGAAAAAACTCATACTGGGGAAAAACTTTTTAAATATAAGGAATGCAGGGTAGCATTTAGTGATCTCTCAATCCTTCCAGCACACGTGACCATTCACACTGGAGATGAACTTTATAAACGTAAGGAAAATGAGAAAGCATCCATTTCTCCCAGTTTATATCAAATACCTGGAAGGAGTCACACTGGAGAGAAATCCTATGAATGTAAGCAATGTGGTAAAGCCTACAGAGATCACAGTTCCTTCAAAACACATGAAAGAAGTCACTCTGGAGAGAAACCCTATGAATGTAAAACCTGTAGGAAAGCATTCGCTTGTCTCAGTTACCTTCGAAAACATGGAAAGATGCACACAGGAGAGAAACCCTATGAATGTAAGCAATGTGGCAAAGCCTTCAAATATTGCAGTTCCTTACAGTCTCACAAAATGAGTCACACAGGAGAGAAACGCTATGAATGTATGGGATGTGGTAAAGCTTACAGTGGTCGCACTGCCTTAAAAACACACCAAAGAATTCACACAGAAGAGAAACCCTATAAATGTAAGGACTGTGGATCAGCCTTTAGATATTACAGTTCTTTACAAATACATGGAAGATCTCACACTGGAGAGAAACCCTATGAATGTAAAACATGTGGGAAAGAGTTCAATTATCTTAATAATTTTCGAAGACATGAAAGAGTTCACACAGGAGAGAAACTCTATGAATGTAAGCAATGTGGTAAATGTTACAGCGATCACACTTCCTTCAAAACACACGAAAGAAGTCACATGGGAGAAAAGCCCTATGAATGTAAAACATGTAGTAAAGCATTCGGTAGTCCCAATTATCTTCGAAAACATAAAAGGAATCACACTGAAGAGAAACCTTACGAATATAGATGACATAGTAAAGCCAGATATTACACTACCCTAGAGTCACATGAGTGGATTTACATAGCAGAGAAACACTATGACTGTAAGCAATGTGGTAAAGGTTATAACAATCACACTTCCTTAAAAACACAAAAGAGGTCACATTGGAGAGGAACCCTATGAATGTAAAACATGTGGAAAAGAGGTCACTTGTCTTAATTATCTTCGAAGACATGAAAGGACTCACACATGAGAGAAACCCTATGAATGTAAGCAATGTGGTAAAGGTTATAGTGATCACACTTCCTTAAAAACACACGAAAGAAGTTACACTAGAGAGAAACATTATGAATGTAAAACATGTGGAAGAGTTCAGTTGTCTTAAGTATCTTAGGAAACGTGAAAGGACGCACACAGAAAAACCCTATGAATGTAAGCAGTGTGGCAATGGTTACAGCGATTTCACAGCTTTAAAAACACACAAAAGTCACACTGGAGAAGAAATTTATGAATGTAAAATATTTAGAAAAGTGTTCAGTTCTCTCAGTTATTTTCAAGAACATGAAAGGACTCACAGGAGAGACACACCATGAATGTAAGCAATGAGTTAAAGCTTTCCATTCTCTACAAGGTTTTCAAAGACATAAAAGAAATCACACTAGAGAGAAACTAAATGTAAAAAATGTGGGAAAGTTTCCATTTTGCACACAAATTATTGAACAGAAGTGAGCATGCACTGTTCTAGCCTATCCTAAATTTTTTTTCTATGAGCCGAGTGGTATTTATACAAGCCCAATGTTTTTCCCCAGTGGAAACACCAAAAAGGAAAGGGAATGGATCTGTGAAGGCAATCATCCAAGTATTAATTTGATTGTATTAAGTGACCTGTAGGGAGAGGGTATCATTTTGATTAATGATCATAATTTAGTATAAAAGGAGATGTGGACCCAGCTGGTATGGCTTAGTGGTTGAGCATTGACCCATGCAACGAGGTTGCCAGTTTGATTCTCAGTCAGAGCACATATTCAGGTTGTGAGTACGATCCACAGTGGGGAGCATGCAGGAGGCAGCCAATCAACGTTGATGTTTTTGTCTCATTGATGTTTCTATCCCTCTCCCAGTCTAAAAATCAATAAATTTTAAATAATAGATATATAAGGAATGTGGGAAATTTTCAGATACACTATATCTGAATGTGGGGAAGACTTAAGTCATCCCAGGTCCTTCCAAGAGCATGAAAGGAATCACTGGATAAAACCTTTGAACATAAACAGTGTGAGGAGGGCTTTAATATGCACACATCCTTACATGTGAAAAATCTCAGGGAAGAGAGATAAAATTACATGTGACATGAGAAAGCTTGATGGAAATTAATCCATGTAAAATGTTCCAGAAAACTTTCAACATGAAAGAATTCATCTTAAGTTTGTATATACATAGTGTTTATCAAGCTTGTTTTGTAAAATACATCATTGCAATATAGATTTATAATAACTTAAGAAAGAAATATTGAGGTGAGATAACTGGGAGTTTTATTTCAGCAATAGTACATAAAATTGCTAGATAACGCTTTTTCCTTAAATGAATTAATATTTTCTTTCCATTTTGAAGCCTGCTAGATCCCTGGGTGAACTGAAGTGTATTTCTAATGTGCCATTAGATTAAATTTTTATACTGTTTTATTTGTCCTGTGTGAAGGTGCTATTATAAAATGACAGTTCGGTATTTGTTGGGATTTTCCTATTGGCTTTGTACAGTTCCGGGTATCCTTAGTCCACTAATATAGTCTACCTTTTTTTGTTTTTTGTTTTTTGTTGTTTTTTTTTTTACTGAAGAAGCTCTTTTTCTGGGGTGACAGGAGTAAAATATTGAACACTTGGAATAACTTTTATATATGGCAAGTACATGAAAGAATATAGTTTCATGGAAATTAATATTTTCACATTTGGGTCCTTATTGTTCTTTATTCTGACTGATTATTTGTTGAATAGACTTTGATTTTAGAAAAGACATAAAAAGAAGAAGAGAGACCTGTAGAAGGGGAAAAAAATGTAGAGTTGGAGATATTCACTCCTCTGTCAGTAATGTTAGGAACTAGGTTTTTTAGAATTCATCTCCTTTATGGTTCCATCTTAGGATTCACAAGTAGCCTCACTTGCATGAGATTGAAAAGGAGAAATGAGTAACACATCAGATTTTGAAACCACCACACAGGGAAGAGACAGTTGTATAAGACTTTTGAGTATGATCCTTTGCCCTTCCAATTAAGACTATCCTCATAACCACCACCAGTTATTTGATTTACACTTTCTTAGAGGTGTAGGTTTCCACTGATGTTTTCTCAAGATTCACATCAAAGATCCATCACTTTGGATTTTTCTGTAAGCCATCATGTGTCCATCTGGAAACTGATGTCTGAATCCCCTCTTCTCTAGATTACATCCGTATAAGATGTAATTTGTATAGGAAATATGCTGTTAATAGTGCTAGAATGTGTTCTTTATTGACCATGACATCTACAATGTTTCAGCCAAAAAGGACCTGGGAGTTTGTTTCTCTGCTGCATGTGCAGTGGCTGCCTTAACCTGGTCCTTCCATGTGAGAATCTGCCTCTTCCTCCTGTCAGGAAGACTGGGTGTTTCCTGTTACTTGAAGCTGAGTGAATCCCTCAGTATGTTTCCAGTTATGTTTGATTGTATGTGATTAAAAGTTTGTGCATTGTGCCTGGCCAATGTGGCTCAGTGGTTGAGCGTCAGCCTATGAACCAGGAAGACACATGCCTGGGTTGTGGGCTCGACCCCTAGTAGGAGGTGTGCAGGAGGCACAATGATTCTCATCATTGATGTTTATCTCTCTCTCTCTCTTCCTCTCTGAAATCAATAATTAAAAAAAAATTAAGTATGTGCATTTTTTTGTCAAAATAGCACTTTTGTAGTTTCATAGGAATATTTTATTAACCATTTTCTAAGCTGTTGTATGTCACCAAATAATTGTTCTTAATTTCCTGAGGGGATATATGAAAATGTCCCCTTATAATTATGAATTTCTAGATAAACTGCAAATCTCTTCTTTAATTATTGTATCATGTGCATTCAAGTTCAGGTAATTTTATTTTGGTAAATTGCTTTCCTGCCCTCTGAAGTCTCAAGCCACAACCTACCCCCTTTCTCCTTCATTCAAGATGACTTGTAAGCCTTAACTGCTTGACAAGTCTTGGGATCTCATATTCTTAGGGAATGCCCATATGTACATACATAATAAATTCGGTCACTTTCTGCTGTTAAAAAAAAAAGTTCAGGTAATTTTTCCTCAGACATATTTTACTTTAAATTCTTTTATAATTACAATTTTGTCATGAAAGTCTCATTGATTTTTTAAATATTTTTTAATTGATTTCAGAATGGAAGGGAAAGAGAGAGAGAAACAATGATGAGAGAGAATCATTGATTGACTGCCTCCTGCACGCCCCACACTAGGGATCGAGCCCACAACCTGGGCACGTGCCCTGACAGGGAATTGAACCATGACCTCCTGGTTCATGGGTTGATGCTCAAC